TTGACTCGGGAGTTAGGTAGAAAGAAAAGAGACTTCTAACTATAGGCAGCTTGTCCCACTTTTCAAAAGTGCGTGAGTTCCAAGGCTTGCTCTTATTTGTCCAAAATCCAAGAAGTTGATGCCGAGCAAATTGAACAATCCATGTAGTTGAGAGCCCTCAAAATCCGAACACAATGATGCAATTATCAAGGTGCGTTCTACCATTGAACTAATAGCCCATCGTGTGGGCCCCGCTATGTTAAAAGCGAGAAAGACCACATCCCTCTCTTTCCTTTTTCTGCCCCATGTAGCCACATAGGAGGGACATAGGGAAGTAAAAAATGGATCCTATCACTTGTTCCAACCTAAGATAATAAGCTTAGTTTTAGTTCGATTTTTTTTTCTTTATTATTATTATCTGTTTATTTCCCAAAATCGATGTCATGTGAGTAATGCCGTGAATTCCTATAATCACAACTAGTTGTCTTGTCTAATGTAACCTATTTAAAAAACAAAATTATTATTTAACAAAAGTATTTTAATTTTAATTTTTTAACTATGACTGAATAGGCAACGTATCCCATCGACTCAACTCCCGCCCTCGTGATTTCCCGCCAACGCCAACTGTATATAAGATTGGATTCCAACGAAATCCCCAAATTCTGCCCTACCCTTCCGCTCTTCCCATGGCGTCTCAGGCTCTAACTGACTACGAGCGTAAGAGGCTCGACAACATTCGCCGGAACGATGAAATGATGGCCGCCCTCAAGCTCCAATCCAAGGCCTCTGAACTCTCCGCCGCCTCCAAGCGTCCAAGGTCTCTCTCTCTCTCTGCATGTCTCATTGTTTCAGAGTGAGGAGCGTTCGTACTGTTTTTAGGTTTTTACTTCGTTTCGTTTCGTTTCGTTTCGTTTTGTTTGTCATCTTTTTGTTATTCCACTTTCCAGAGTTGAAACCAAATCGGAAAAAGTTTATCCAAAGAGCAAGCCAAAAAACGAGGCTCCCGTAGTCTTACGGCGGTCTTTGCGCGCTAGAGGAATTCCTCCCGATGCCAAAAATGTTGAACATGATCTTACTGAACCGGCTACTAAGATCCGGAAGTCTGTTACCCGGTCGAGGCCTTCGCCTCGTGACGTAGGCCCTCGTGAAATGGTTGAAGCTTGTAGTGAGAGGGAGTCTCATCGGTCTCTGATTGAATTGATTCTGAGTATTTCGAGTAAATCTCAGTTGCGTAGGTCGAAGAAAGAGGAATTGGTTGAAGTTGACCAGGGCTATGTGGATTCTTCTAATGCGATAAAGACTGAAGGCAAGGAAGATGGAAATTATTTGAAGATGGAGGCTATTGATAATTCTCCGAGTTTAGTTAAGACAGAGATCGATGAACTTACTAGTGGGATTAAAGGGCACGTGATGGGTTCGATTAAAATGGAAAATAAGAATGATGTAAGTCGCTTAGAGTCGATGTCTCTGAACTCCAAGAACATAGCTCGGGTTGTGCCGGGGAGAATAACGGCAGTGTGGTTTTTCCCTTGTCCTCAGTCTAGAATGATTGTTGTTGGTAACAAGTTTGGGGAAGTTGGATTTTGGAATGCTGGTCATGAAAAAGAGGAAGGAAATGGAATCTATTTATATCACCCGCATTCAGGTCCCATTTCTGGGATTTCAATTCAACGACATGCATTGTCGAAGGTACTGTTCAGTTGGGAGATTCTAGGAAGATTTAAAAAATTAAGTTTATTAATTTTTCATTTGATCTTTTGAAATACTTTCTATTATTATTATTATTTTTTAAATGATCTGTGTAGCAAAGGACCTGTAGGTTCTCGTGTACGACAAGTGATGCTATATGTTTCATTTAAAAAAAAAAAAAATCATACTACGTGAGAAAAGACAGTTTGATTCTCAATAAGTTATCCATAAAATTTTTTTTCATGCCAATTATTTTGCTTGTTCGCTCGAGTTCAACTTCTAAAGCAAGCTTATATGTCTTGGTAGGTTATTCTCGTGATGGAAAAGGTTCACTTAGCTATAGAAGGATTTTTCTTCATGTATCAATATTAGTTCCAGTTAATTGTAGAATTGCTTCTCGAGCATCTGCAGATTTGTTTTCTTGCCGTGTGTATTTAATGGCATTTCTTATTAGATAGTTGTTTTCGTATTTCCTTGTTGAAGAATGCATGAATGATGAATAATGCAATATGCAATTAAAGAGAAATTGTTGGGGGATCTGTTTGGATGATTGAAGTCGATGATTTTGAAAGGAAGTTTACCTCCATTCAAGTCATTTTCTTTATAGTTAACATATTTTTCACGGTTTAGGAGCTCAATCTTGAACTTTGCATGACTACTTTTCCTGATTTTGTGCTTATTGCCTACAATAAGTTTTGGCTATGTTTAGTTAATTATGTTTCTTTTATCGTGACTTCAGGTTTATACCAGTTGCTATGATGGATTTATACGATTGATGGATGCAGAGAGGGAGATGTTTGATATTCTGTATCGCAGTGAATATACTGTATATTCCCTCTCTCAACAATCAAATGATGTAAACTGCTTATACTTTGCTGAGGGTCGTGGAGGGTTGAATATATGGGATAAAAGGACTGGGAATTGCCCAATGCAATGGTTGTTGCATGAAGATAGGATCAATTCCATAGATTTTAATGCAGAAAATTGCAACATCATGGCTACTAGTTCTAGTGACGGAACTGCCTGCATCTGGGATTTGAGAAGTATTAATGCTGAAAAGCCCAAAACCTTGACGATGGTCCGCCATAAAAGGGCGATTCATTCTGCTTACTTCTCACCCTCTGGACGCTTCCTTGCAACTACTAGGTAAATTGATCATCTTTTGGAATTTAGTGATAGGGAAACTGTAGTTACAGAATCAGCAAAAAGGGTAAAGAGAGAATAAGTAAGATATCTTGTAGCTTTGGTTTATTCAGTTCTTAAGTATACTTATTCTCACAGTTATTATTTTTTTCTGTGCTTTGATGATCTAACTAGAGTACTGATGTTGGTTCGAGAAATAAGTTGCATTGGGGGTGGAATGTAGAGTTCTAACAGTCGTAGTTGCACATTCTACTTTCTGGTTAATTACACTTTGGCAGTGGGTTCTTATGTATGGAGATTGGCTGTTGGGTTGTGAAGCATCCGACAGGAATAAAACTCATCAATATGCATGACTGTCCATATTTTTTGTTTGCTCATCAAACTGTTGTCTTCTGGGCTGTAGAATTTCTAATGTTCTAGATCCTAATTATTTTGAAATTACAGTTAATGCATTCATTTCAAACTATGGCTCTTTTATTGTTGCGTGACATCAGAACAACAAGAAGTTGTTTTACATAGCTCTCACAAGTGTGAAATTTTACATGACTTTTTTTCAGTACTGAAATTGGGTGTTTGTAGTTGGTGAGGTTGCATGGATTAATAGCATCATATGATTTAATGTTGTGGGATTAATAGGTTTCACTATATGTAGTTTTGACGACAATGTTGGTATATCTGGCGGAGTTAATTTTGAGGATACCATAATGATGCCCCATGATAATCAGACTGGCAGATGGCTTTCTTCGTTCAGGCAAGTGTTATTACTTCCCTTAAACCTTTTCCCCTTTTCATTCTGATCTGAAATTTACTTGGTGCGATTCATCCAGATTTCCCCATTGAGAATTTTAAATTTTAATATGAATGGCTCATTTTCTCATGACATTGATATCTATCAATATTTGAATCTTGTTTCCTATAAAATGAATGACACACTGCTAATTTATTTTCTCATTGAGTAGCTTATTCCTTATATTGTCTATACTATTTTCTATATGCAGATGTTTGAAGCTTATGTCCTAAAATATGAATGATGATACACTTCAATTTTTTAAAAGACCTAGTTGCTTATGTTGTAGTCAATATATTAATGTGCTCGAACCTAAATGAATAATGATGCACTGCATAATTTCTGCAATTGGACTTCCACATGCCATGCTGCACCCTAGTTACGTTATACATCTTGTGTTGTTTTGTTTTGTTTTTTTTTTTTTTTGGGAAAGGTTAATTGACCCTACAATGAGTGATTTTCCTTCTTTTTTGCTGGTTATCAAGTGTAGTTCTGGGCATTGAAAATAAATGATCTTGTTTTTTTAACGATAATTTGAATGTTTATGCTCCAATGCAGTAGCAGTTGATTTTAGTATCACATTTATCGTGATAAGTAGGTTTTATTTTTTGCCCCTGTTAGATGATTAACGGCATCTATATATTTGGAAGCAGAGCAATATGGGGTTGGGATGACTCGCACATTTTCATAGGAAATATGAAGAGAGCAGTAGATGTTTTTGCACCCGCACAACGGAGGAGAATCTTCGCTCTACAGAGCCCCCTCATGTCTGCAATACCATGCAGGTTCGATGCACACCCTTATTATGTTGGAATGTTAGCAGGAGCCACGAGTGGGGGCCAGGTATATATGTGGACAATGAGTCAAGATGTTTAATTTGCTTGTGCAATAGAGTTCTTGGGATGACAAATTTTGTACGATGAACTCCATCCATCTTTATTTAGTGCTAACAACCGAAAAATACTTTCCGGGGTAGAAGAGATGCTTTATCTCATCTCGGAATCGGATTTCATGGGGATAGTCTGGGAATGGGTTTTGTGTACTCTGGTACCGTCATTATCACCTATCCTGTAGCCTTTGTTCATTAGTGATTGAACTTTGACGGGTGAGTTTTAAGCAGTTTTTTGGCAGTGTCGACAACTGACATGATTTGTTAGAGAGCTTGTTCCCATTTTAATTTATTAACTAGGAAGAAGCTAGTAGTGGAAAAACTCTCTTAACATTTAAGAGGATTTATGAACCACCATGGAACAATTGATCTGTTATTTTAGCGTCTGGTGAGATGTGAGAGTGGGAGAGAGGAAGATAGAGAATGAATTAACTATTCATCATTTTCTTCCAAGAGGTTAATTCAGATGGAATTAGTTTTTCATTACATGAAAGCACAGCCTGCGCTGTTAACTTTCCAAGCCAACCATGGTACAACAATCCCCTTGAACCAAGCCCTCCCAATAACCAATACTTGCAGGAGCTGTTATGTCTTACAATCTCGTCTATACAACCCATAAGAGGAAGAGATCCAGGAGGAGTAAGTGGTGGCATTGCTCTTAGACCAGCCCTTGCTCCTGTGAAACTCCACTCCTTTATGGAGGGATAAATGGCTGCCACCTTTGGTAAAAGTTCTGCGAGCGTTCTCAAGCCTTCATCTTCTGAAACTTCAGGTGATGAATTTGTTGATTGCCACTCCCATGTTGAACCCATGTATAAACTCCGAGGACCCTGTATGGCTAGCCATGCATCTGACAGTATAGAAGGCCCAAGCTCTGGATATGTATTGCTGAAATACAATATTATACCAGATATCAGACAAATAGGATAAATTATCATGGTGTTCCTGGTATAATTGTTCATGACAGGGTTTTTACTCTATAATTATTCCAGGACAGTCTAGGAGCAGACCTAGAACGTCAAAATTTATCTTTTTATGTTTCTTAGTGAGAAACTGAGCGTTCATTGAGATAAAATGAAAGATCATATTTGGCTCTTGTTCCTGTGACAAAGTTTTGCAGTTGCATGAAGATAGGATCAATTCCATAGATTTTAATGCTTCTGTAACTCTGATGCCTCAGATTATGAATTTTGTGGAGGGGATAGCACATTGTTGGCACAAGAAACCGATACCTGATATCATCGGGTAGCTGCATATGAGCAACTACACCTCTGCAAGTTCTCAATGGAAGTTTTCCAGAAAGTTCAGGAAGCATGACCATTTTGGCACCTAGACAAACAATCACAGCGTCGTATGCACCTGCAAGCTTTCCAGAGAGTTTTACATATAAGAACCAGTTCAACTCCATGGTAACGTCGAAAATTTGGTTTGAGAACTTTCACTTACCTCCTAGTTCACGCAGTTTGTTAATAGAATCCTTCTGCAAATACAGCTCCTTTGGACCATGACCTGAGGTGGATGATTCCTTGGTCAGATTTTCACATGCTGTAAATAGCGCCTATCCATAAGATTGGAAAAAGAAGATGAGAGACCTTTTGTAACACATAAGAAATGGAAGAAAGAAAAATTAGTATTTGAGAAGTTGAGACCTCAAGATAACGTCGAGAATTGATATTAACAGCTTGAGGCATATAAAAAGCTGTATTTAGAGGAACATGAAGCTGAGGAACAAGATTTCTGGCATCATCTTCATCAATGGTTTCTATTCTGCAGCTATCAAGCCCATTTTGAGCATTCTAGTTACATAAATAAACACTATCACCATCTGTTACGAGTAACGATTCAATATATAGAAGTAAGGATATAATTACTTCTTTTAACACTGTCAAATTCTTCAAGCTTATTGCAGGCCTCAAAATGCCCCTAAAAGTAAAGAAAATGCACCATAACCATATCAGAAGAATGAGAATTAAACAGACCTTGAAGGGAATAACCAGGCAAAAAGACCAAAAAAAAAACAGTAACAGCCAGAGACCGTCTTAGAACAACGAATTCGTGCATATTCTGACACCCATCCATCTCAGAATCCAACTCTTTGGAGTGAAGTGTAGACTCTGCAACGCTCAAAAGCCTCAAGCAGTCTGCCCAACACTCAGCACCTTTCCAGAGAAGTTTAACTGTCATCATTTCGAGGGGTTAGCGTTATCCGCATCTGAAGAAATTGTGAGCAAACGAACACAATTTTCAGGAACAGAAAACTAAAAACAAAATAGTTATCAAACGGAGCTTAAATTGTTAGAACCTTTAGGAGAATAAGGATGAAGAAGCCCTCCAGCAACTCCAGATGCCCCTCCACCGATGCCAACCTCGTCATATATGTCGATGCGTAGAGGAACATCCTTAGGACACAGCTGCACTAATCATTTCGACATTAAGTATTAAGAAGACATTCTTAATAGTATTCTAACCTGATGAAATTCTTTTGTAATTACAACCTCCTCCTTAATCCGGAGAATATAAATGCTTGTGTAACCCAACCTGGTTATATCTTCCCCCGTTTCTCCTTAAAAATAAAAAATAAAAATCCTAAAGAACAGTCACATTAGCCCTGGGACACAGAATCAAAGAGATATATTCATTAGGGCCATTTTCCCTACAATTTGCACCGATAACCGAATTAAATGTAAATATTTGCGTGCAATCGTGAATCGTAAAGAGAGACGTTCATCAACCACACACAAAAATGTAGAATTCCAGAGAGAAGAACAAATTCTAACAACACTCCAAAAGCCAAAAAAGTATGAAGAAGAAGAAGGGAGGCAGAGAAACAGAAGGCGTACCTTAAGCAAATTCCAAGTAACTGAAAGGCCAGCAAAACCAGCTCCAAGCACTGCGTATCTAACAATTTGAGATACAAACTGAGAAAAGTGCGTCAATCGAGTAAAAGGAAACACAGAAAATGTTGAGAGAACCTCAGAGAACGCCGAGGAAGAGAAGAAAGTGCTAACGACGGAGCGGCTGCGGCAGACTGAAGAGTAGAACCTTCACAAAAACACACCATTATGTGTGTTCCACTTCTCCTTCTTCAGGTTGCTGCCCAGCCTAGGAGGTCTATCTTTATTCTTCGTCATTTTCACCGTCGATATCAACCTAATTTAACGGTAATTAGCCCCTATTTTTTATCAATATTATTGTACTACCTATTACATTCAGACTTCATTAAGTAATATATTATATTTATTTAATAGACTCTATTTTTATTACTTTTATAGATAACAATGAATGAATTTTTTATACTACTGTAGATTTTCCTACACCATTAATATGTTATCAAACCATGTCACACCTTCTAATGAAAATGTTCTTCAAATATATTTTAAAAATAATTTGAAAGATGGAAGATTATAATTTGGTGTTTTCAAAAGGACAAAGGAACAACAACACATATTATATTTTTGTAAAAACAACATTATGTGTGTTTTTTAAAATATGGTATGGTATAGTATTTATATTGTAAATTTGAAAATAGTGTTAGAAATGTAATATTATACTTTTGTTTGGCTAAGTTTAATAATAATAATAATAACCCACCTTTATAAGTTTCTACAGTTCAACTAGAAAAAGATCTTAGGCCGGAAGTTCGAATTCCTGCTCTAGAAAAGACAAATTTTGTCAAATGCAAATTGAACCCATTGTTGACCATTTTCATAATGCAAATGGTAATCGTTTCATATTACATCACAAATTTGGGGGTAAAACCCCAAAAGTTGACCAAAACTTACATCTTAAAAAATTACAAAACTACACAAAACTCCTCACCCTGCATTTATAGAATTCAATAGACAACTTTTATGTACAATCTCACTGTGGCTATTAATATGTTCTACAACACTTGGACATTAGCCATCCCCAGGGAATGGCTCTCAGTTCTCACATAAAGAAAGCTTGAGAAGTGTCATTATTGTATCAATCTGTCTCAGGCAAGTACCCTTCCTTTTTCAAGTACCAAATAGCTGCTTCGGCTGCATGCTCAGCCGCAGCCTTCTTCCTCAAATGAGGTGCTCCGAAGAATTTGAAAATCGTATCGGGGGCTTCTTCTATCTCTAAAACAACCTTGTAAGTGAACCTGCAAAAATATTGAATCAAAAACCAGCCTTTTCCATTTCTCCTATGCCTATCCCAGATAGCTCAGCATTCATCAAGGACTTACATCTTCAAATGGCTTGGTCCTTCCTCATTCATGCAATCAAATGAAGGGGGACTCCAATGGTTTGCAGCACAGATTTCATACAGACGTGATCTGGCCGTTGCTTTGCACAACCGACCTAAAGAAACAGCTTTTAATTAGAAAATAGTTTGACATATAATAACCCCCCTCCAAGAACAGTTATCAGTCGCGGTACCTGATGACGACTGCACGTCTGTAGGACTATCATGACCATCAAAGGCCAGACTAGGATCCAGTTGTTCTTGTGCAGCTCCAGATGAAGATACGAGCATTTTGCTTATCCGTGTAATGCGTGCTGGATGAGCATTGCCAACTTCACTGTGCACAAAAGGATCTAAGTCTGCACCGGAAGATTCCAACCCCTTTATTGTTCCAAAACCATTATCAGCTTGATCCATCGTGACAGAGGGTGTTTCATCATATCCAATCAATTTAGGTTCCATCTTCCTGCTTGACTTTAAAATTTCCTCCAATGAATTGACCTCTGGTATGAGTCCCTGGGCCTGCAGCAATAAGTTAATAAAGTTACTAAAACCATTTAAAAGTAGGTAAAAATAAGCTTAGCAAGTCATGGTTCATGGGAAACAGAGGCATGTCTAAAGTCACAAATAATCGAAATACTTGATGATACCACAGATCAAAATTTAAAAATTTTAGCATTCCCAAAAGCTCTATACTTCAAAGTTGAAAGATTCTTTGCACCGAAAGACAACTATAGATACTTGATCCATCCAACTCAGTATACTACAGAGCAGGTGGCCAAACTAGACAAAATAGTAAATTTACAACATATATAAAACATCTGAACTAAGCTCCGTGATGATATTGTTCTTTTTCTTTTGAGGTTACCAAAGAATTCCACCTCCCAGAAATCTTTATTCTAAAAGTTATGAACAGAGCAAGATATTTAGGGACCTTTAAGACCAGAAATATCAACTGTTTTGAGCATTAACACGAGACTTTTCCAAAAATGTGAAGTGTAAAACAAATATTAAAAACTCCAATGATATTCAATGTCTGTTTATTGTAAAGTAAAAGAATGCTGATGGTTTTTTGGCATAAGAGCACTGTATAAGTATGATTATACTCATATTCACCTTTAACTTGGTGAGTATGAGGTTGGCAGCAATTTTCTTGGCATCTCTCTTTCGCCGATGGGCTGCAGAAGCAGTGGCATGAAAGTTATCTCCTTTTACGTCTGCTTCAACAGAATAATATTTTCCTGTTTTTGATTCATTAAACTGAAGGTTCGAGCCACAATCTTGACAAAATTCTATTATGTCTCGAATAGGACTAAGCTGGAAGCCTGAAAAGCTTATAATAGGATCCAGAAAAGATAGCATTATCTTCCAAACATAGTTCATGTCGAACCCTGTATCAACAAGAACGGCCCCAACACAAGATTCAACCAAATCTCCTAAAGCCTGCAACATAAGATACAAGCATTGAAATCTTCAAACAAACAGAAGAACACACTTCCCTCTCTTGACACTCGAACACGACAAAATCATTCCCTAAACCTTAAATACTCTCAACTAATACAAAGACAGTACAGCATGTAATATCTTTTCCCCAGGACTAATATATATAAAGACAAGAACAATTTATAAACATTGGTCCTTTTACATCTCGAGTAAATGAAATTTCTATTGCCTGTAAGTAAAATAAAATAAATAAATAACGCAGAGAAGAAAACTTCTCTTGCATAGAGGGCAAGAGGGTCACTGAAAGATGCAACTGGTATGAAACTACAGTGATTATATACTATCTATAGAGACTGGAATTTACTTGAAAAGTATAATTTAGAGGTGTTTTCCAACTAAATTGACAGATACTCCTGGTCACTAGAAATGTCCACGTGATAATTCTAGAATTGTTTAAAAGTATGTATCAATGCGTATCTAGTACCTTTGGACAACTCGGAAGCCCAAGTGAACCACTTCCAGAAGAAGGTGCTTTGATGAAGTTTACGTAACTTTTTATATCACTTTGAAGGCTAGTAGAATCACAAATCAGATACTTGTAGAAAGATCTATCTACTGCAACATTGGCAAAGGCCTCATTCCTCACAAACACTGACCTCAAATCGGTCAATAGACCCGGCTTCAGCTTAGGATATGCTGAATATAGATATGACGTGATCAAGTAATCCAGGACAGCATCTCCAAGAAACTCTAATCTCTGGTCAAAACCATAGCAAAATCATCAATATGTAGAGTACCATTTATGGAGAAATTGATAAAGAGAAAATACCATCTCCAAACGCAGTAGAAATGCAGATTACAGAGTACCATTTGAGATGGATAAAGAGAAATTTCGTACCTGGTAACAACCTCCTCCATGCTTGTGGTAAGAAGGATGTACGAGTGCCTGCAGCAGCAGGCCTTTATGGAGAAATTGATGGCCTAATGAGTTTTGAAGTACAGAAATGTTTATTCTATCTGCAAGTATGATGTAAGCATTGCTTGACATGAGAGCATTGGTAACTAGTGAAGCTTCAAATTCTACTTGTATGCCGATCCACTTTAGAAATGAAATTGCAGCTTTGAAGCCGCTGTCAACTAGGAACGCCCCAACCAGAGCTTCAACCACGTCGCTGATTGTTTTCTTATGTAACCAATGATGGCCTCTACTGCACTTGGTCTCACTGGCTTGTGCATTTTTTGTTGCATTACAGTGCGAATGAATATCTTCTCTAGTTTCCTCATTACATATTCTTGGGCAAGGACGACCAAGTGTATAAAATTGACTAGGCTCAAATGGCTGGTCACGTATGTATACCTGAAGAAAGAGCACATACATGCACTAAGATTATTCGAAATTAACAGACTAATAAGTGCCAACAGCATTTATTGATCAATCTCAGGATATGTACACAATGTCTTTATGTAACTTGAAGCACCAATCATTAAGAATAGTTTATAACAAGAACTGCTCATGGTCATTGATATTTGTTCTAACAACATGAGCAATCGAGGAGGATGTTGTAAATTCTTTATGTGACTTGAAGCACCAATTATTAAGAATAGTTTATAACAACATTGGGATTTGTTCAATAATATTACAGCAACCGAGGAGGACTTTCTTTCTTCGATAAAATCAAATCTTGAAACTGAAGACCAATCATCAAAGATTCCCAAATATATAATGTACAGATAACTTCCATCACACCGATGTCATCACTAATCATTGTAAAGGAATAGTAAAGTGATTAAAAATCGGATTTACTTATCGACTATGGAAATTCCTGATTCTTCAACTCAAGGATGCATGGTTGAACAATTACTAACAAGCTTATACTGAAGAGTACGATAGAAAAGTGATCAAATTATTAACAATAGAACAACAATTTACTTTTAAGTTTCCTTCTTTTTTTTTTCTTTTTTTCCAGAAAAAGCATAAACAGTGAAATGGTGGTTCAAATTAGCACCTAGGACTTTAAGATCACGTCCTTGGATTTGCATCATACCTGTAAGTTCTTTCTAGTTGCTAGCTTGAACAAATTGATATTTTTCACTAAATAAGAACGCCTTCTAGTAAGTTCTCCTTCATCAGACTTGTCGTGTGTAAGAAAAAGGTATCTTGCTACTGCAAATTTAAGGAAACCGTCACCAAGTATTTCAAGCCTTTCCAGCGAAATGCGTTCCTGGCACTTCTCAGTGGTGAGTGCTTCAAGAATCTAATAGGAAAACACAAAACTGTTCAAGGCATGAAAAGAACCAAATGTGAACAGAAATTTCAAACTGCAAGACAAAGCACTTACTCTATTGGCAGTAACCTCGGCTCCATCTGGAAAAGCAGCTGCTAACATACACTTCAATTCAATAGCAACAAGCAAGTTTTCTAGACGATGCATAATTGATGGCAACAAAGATATGGAGCTCCCGATATCTTTTGAAAAGCCAATTATCTTCAACTGACAAAGCTCGGGAGGCAAATCAATGAAATACTCTTGCAGATAACATGCTTCTGTATCAAGATATAGATTTTGTAAATTCTTTAAGGAAAAAAAAATGCAAATGCCGAAAGGTTAAGACAGTTTCAAAATCAAGCAAGGGCATTTAATTGTCATCATTGGTAAACCTTTCCTCTAAGTCTTATTAAAAGAAAAAGAGACGAGCCTTTCTGATTAGAAGGGGGATGGTAAATAGTTAGGCTTCCTCAATTTAAATATCTAAGAAACATATGTTATTACTTTGATCACAATACAATTAACAGTTGGAAAGAATGATATTTAGCATACCATTTAAAAGATGTGGTTAGTTTAATTTAGTTTGCAAGTATTAAGGAAACTTAAACGTTGTAATTGAACTGTTATCACACAGGCAACTGATGGTCCACCCATACATTTCATGTATTCCGACAAAAAAGGCAGGGAAGAGAGGCCATGGAAGACAATCATTAGATAGCCAATAAGTGAGAGTAATTTGAGAAAAATATACGATTCCCGAAGCAGATTTGTCCGTTAGTAGGGGTAGTATTACTTTCTTTGTTGCGAGTTGTCAGATCCCATCAGACAAATGCATTGTGATTGGTCCAGGGGAAGATAACTATAAGAAGGAAGGGAAGGGGGAAGGGGCTTTTACTTGATTACTCTGGTCAGGGAGAGACACAAGATTCTTGATCGAGGAAGGGACTATACTTTGAAATTTCTTTTCAACGAACTTTATGGATCTGTTCTAATTGTTGAGATCAACAGAAACTCTCTGTCTTTCTCTATGGTGATTCTTTCAGCAAGAAAAAAATTCAGTTAATATAATCAAGAACAAAGTGACCCTATACCTTCAGGTCAAGTACCAAAAATATCATTTAAGTTAACAGAACAATTTTAAAAAATCTTTAATAATGAGTTTCAAGCAATGTTGCAAAAGATGTCAAAATAGTTACAGAAATGAAAACTTGATCCGACTGTTTTAAGTACTATATCCAGACATTTGATGCAGCAAACTTAAACTACAATTACCAGGCTAAGTAGCAAAAGAACTAAGAATATTACCAGAATTGCCCTGCCGTCTATCATGTAGCAAGTTGTGCAAATGGAATAGGGGTTTTGCAGAAAGAAGAGGCTGCTCAGGATATTTAAGATGAATGCCAAACCTGATCACAACATTCATACGAATTTATAAATGTTATACAAATAACAACAAAGAAAGATATAAGAATACTAGAGTATATTAGAGTCAAATTCTAATTCGTTGCCAAATTGATATATTTTTTCCTTCTTATTCATGTGGTTATCTCGTATATATGGGGGATTGAACCTCCAACCTTGTCCTCAAGGGAAGGAGTACATGTCAATTACCGTTGAGCTATGCTCTATCTTGACTGTGGTTATGTCATATATATATAACCAAATGTACACCAGAAAAATAAAAGCCTATCTAAAAGGCTCTGCATAGACTAGAGAAGCATTAAATAAATTCTAATCCAGAAAACATGAAACCCACCTTTCAATTAAATGCTCAAAATGACTTGAAGAGCTTGAGTTCTTATAGTGACTTCGACTGTATCCATTCTTCCCTTTCACAATGTCAGTAACAAAAAAGAATTCACGCTTGTACGGGACATACACTAAACTATTCTTGATATCACTTGTCCTTCTACGGCCATCATAAAGAGTCAAGTGGGCATGCGAGCAAGCAGTTTCCTTGACAATAGAGCCAGGAATCTGGAAAATTGGGGAGAATAAACATCTTCTAATAACTTTCCAATCTATAGAAACTGATCTCTCATTATCATGAAAAATCAGAGGAAGCAACAAGTAAGATGTTGATGAAATAGATTTAGAGACATTATTCCTCAAAGGAATAAACTCCTGAACAAATTCTGATCTGTCCAAAATGACCTTAAGAAACATTTCCTGAAAACTCTCTGCCTGGGTAATCTGAAAAGCATAGATACATTGAGTAAGTTAAAAAATGATAAAGATTACTATTTAGTACAAACTACAAAGCAAACAGATATACCATTTACCTCATCCTCCAAAAGCTCCACAACCCCTGATGGCACCAAATTTACCATTACAGATCTACCACGTGCAAGATGAAGCTCAATGTCCATTCTCTCAGCCTCCTGGGGAAGTGCTGCCTTGACAAATAAACCAAATTCTTTATAGATCCTATCTCTAGGATGTGGACTGAATTTAATTTGGTAACAGTTGAGAATAAAATATCCCGAGCCAGTCCAAGAATCTTTTAGAGCAGCAGGAACTAACATCTCATGAAGTTCTCCTCGTGAAGTCTCATCTGCAATGATGCTTAAAATATCAATCAAGACCCATAAAGATCAAAATTAAAAATCAGGTAATTACTCAAGTGAACCTTCAGATCTGTCAGAATCAGAGGAGTCAAGTTCCAATTCTTCTTCATTGGCGTCGTCTCTCATTGGCAAAAGAAAGTCATTGAGAGCACCAAGTTTATGCAATTCCTCAATAGCTTTTATACAAGCATCCTTTTTAGCACCTTCCCTAGAAGGTTGTGTTCTGCTGATAATTTGGTGTATTGGAGCATTGGAGGGCAGAATAGCATGACATACAGTTCCTGCTAGATCATCATAATAGAAAAACTTTGGCTTGGGATCAAAGTACCTGTTCATACAAGAATATCTTGAAAATTTATATAGTATTAAAGATAAATTAAGCACAATGGACGAGTTTTAAGTTATTGAATATGTAATCCTGTATTAATGAGAAAGCTTTAACGTTCAGGCTTACTCATCATGTGGAAGTTTTGAGCAAAATTCATGCAGTAACGATATACTACGTCCAGAAGTGATAGATGCACCAGTTGAAGCAACTCTATAGATGCTTTCTTCATGACTATTAAATATCTCACTGGATGAGCGAGAAGAAATTTCCCTGTCCATCCGATTCTCATCTTTCTGAAATTCGTCTATCAATCCTAGCTCCTTTTCATTTCCACTGACATATGGAAGAATTTGTTCAGCTAAAGAATATTATTAGAAAAATGTTTGTGATTTAAATAAATATAAAAAGAGGACCTATCAACAAGGAATGCATATTCAGACTGTGGCATTCGTGCTCGACCTCTTGATTGTATAAAGCTAGATACTGTTTCGGGAAGATCAAATCGTATCACGAGGCAGCAAGTCTGAATATCAAGCCCTTCTTCACCCACCTTTGTTGCAACCAAGAGGTTTAGCTGCCAGAGAGCAATGAGCCACAAGGATTTATCATAAATTTCAATTATTTGACAATCATTAGCCTCATACATACTAGAATAGGTTAAAATAATCAGAAACAAGACTTTCATTAATATTGAGAATAAGTGAGAATGATTTTATCTAATAGTTTGAGCCTGTAAGATTGATGATAGTTTAACATGATGCTGGGATAGGAGACGTCAAGTTAAAAATTCAATCAGTATCAATGCTATTTGATTCATTTATCTTACTGACAAGAAACACGAATTATGGTATTTTTTAGTCTACATGTCAGAGCTCATTTGTGAGGATTAAATAACTAATATTACCCTAACCTAACAACTCAGCGTTTTGGGATTAGGAGTAGTTTGATAGCTAAGAAGGATGAAAATACAAATATTGGCTGCAACCCTTAAGGAGCCAGTATAAGATTAATTTACTTCTTCATGCTATTAGTAGATGATGGGGATTCGCCCTCTTTTACAAATTAATGTCATCATTACTCCTCTATTTATGGATACACAGGGAAATTTTCCAGCACAACATACTAATGCTTGTAGTGAAGAAAATATCCTTGCAGAAAGTAAAGGTAGGCTGGTCCTGGTCCATAGGCCATCTTTCCAAAGGAACCATTCTAAAAGATTGAACCATGACGTGTCACGATCGAACATTGTAAGAAAATATAGGAATAATAATATCATTAGTGTAATAAAGCGGTAGCCAGGATTATACCTTCATAAAAAGGGACTAGAATTGTGTAGGTAATGTATCGAAGGCACTTTTTCAGAAAATGTGGTTAGGAGGAATTAGCAAAAGTTTTGAAGTGATTGAAAGGAATATGTATGATTATTGGACCTAGTGTATTTTCTATCTTTCACTCGGAGTTCTTCATTGAAGAGTTCTTGTAATTACTCTAGATATTTTAGTAATACTTTACCCTTCAGGGGGTTTTAAGTTTAGGAGGATATTTGAGTTCTTTGCCTCCACTTTATCCTCTTCAGACCTGCTACATCCTTTTATTGTTAATAAAAATATTTTAATAGGAGCGAAAACAAAAGAAATATTTGTAATGGACCATGGGACATTCATATCACACATTACACAGTAACTGAAGGACATGTTCTAGCAACGGAATTGATGACTTGAAGTTCAATCGAACTCTCCTCCCTTCAAAGACATAATGCAGGAAATGCCGAGCAGAACCAAATAATCTAACAAGGAGATACCTGGTCACATTTGCTAGCCTCTTGGTGTGTGTGTGGGGGTTTTGGGTGGGGGGTTTGATGTAACAACTTACCTCCCCTGACCGGAACTTCATAAGAATATGGTTCATGGTCTTCCTTGACATGCTCCTCAATTTAGAGTGGACTCCTACAAGATAATCACACTTCCAAAATGCCAGAAACTCGAGGTTCTGCAATATGTATGACAAGGACCGTGCTATAACTATTCTATTTACAAAAATAATACATTTCATGTTGAGTCGATGCCTGAAATGAAGAAACAAAGAGAAAATAGCAGGTCTTAGCAAGCTTTCCAAGAAATCCACTTTCTTGAATACAAATTTATATTTACCAATGACATAAGCGTGCAGACCTGCTAGGAAGATCTAGCCACCCCATAGATTTGTGTATACATGTACGTCGTTTTAGGTTGTGTAATTTCAATAATATTACAGCATACAAATTTCTTCACAGACAAAATCCCTTTTTAACATATAATAATAGATAATAGATGGTAAAAGATTTCAATTCTAACCTGAAGGAAGAAAGAATTTCAATAAGTTGTAAAAGCTTCTTTGAGAAAAATGGATACTCCAAAATATCAGCATTTAAAGTATCTGACATTCCACCACCTACAGCACGGGAAAAAAGAAAAATAAACCACAAATATGTCAGTTAAAGGATCACAAAGGTTATCATGATACTACAGTTAGTGTTGACAGTACTGGTCCAGCAATGAAGAACTGTACATAATGCCTCAATTGTAGAATTGAGCACAAGATCACAAGAATGAGCATAGCAGCCTTAAATCAGAGAGGAATGCAAATCCAATCTGTTCCAGAAGAAATTTTAAGTACCTATTTTGCAACCTTTGGCAAGAATTTCAGCAGCTTGATTAAGGTATCTATCACTTAAGGAGTGATTATTTGGGTTTCCCTCTGCTGCCTCTATCAATTCACTTCGCTCAGAGTTATCTCCACTTAGAAGAATTTTACTAGCCTAATAAGACAGATAATAAAACAGAAAATAAGTAAAGCCAACATGAAGACAGACAATAGTAAACAAACAGAAAAAGATCTACATGATTTTTCCACACAGGATCACCCACCATTATGTTAGATTTTAAAAGATGATGCCTCTTGGTAACTCTTCATAATGAGTATCTAAAAAGCACGAATACGGTCACAAGACAAAGATACGACACGGACAACGGTGACACGTTATCTCCTAAACATCTAGGATACGGCACTGCAATGACACATTTATTAAAATATACAATTTTTTTTAAGTATATATCATTTTTATACCATTCAAAATCAATAAATTTATGCAATTTATTCTTAAAAAATGAGGTGGATGTGTTTTGCTCTCAAATTTTATTATTTTATCATATATGACTATTTACCTCTATTTCTGATGCTTAACAAGAGTTCAATACGTATCTCACAAGTGTCGATCCTATATTCACTTTGTACGACTAGTGTGTGACACACATCTATTGAACTAACAAGTACGCGATACGTCTCCAATAAGCGTCAAAAGTATTGGAGTGTCTGACACGTGTCTGACCCGAACGTGTTACCCAAATAAACATATAGCTATCCCCGCAGTTCCTCCAGAGCTCGCAAACAAGTTTCCAATGCTGCCACTCTATCTCGGAGTTGTTTGTTCTCTTTCGCCAATCTATCTGCCCGTGCATGTGCTTTACTCACCATCTTTTCGAATGTATTACATGTATGTTCTAGTTCGATGTACATACTTCTTGTTTTTCGATGGCTTCTCTTCTCCTCCTACAACTCAACCCACGTTTGATCTCGATGTGGACTTCCCCCTTCCGTAGACGTTGTGCGTACTCTCACTCCACTGGTACCCCCAGACACTTTGTATATGTATTTCCGACAAACAGTAGAAGAAGATGAAGGAAGATATATAGACGAAGTGTATATAAGACAAAGTTTATATATTACAAATGATAAAATCTGTGATATATATAAGACGAAGCGTCACTTAATATCCGGTGAAGTCCGTTGGTGAGCATTAAATCGGTGTAATTGCTGACGCCATTTTCGAAGTGCAGCATTCAATCGGTGTAATTGCCGACGACGTTTTCGAAGTGCATTTATTTCGTTCTGCGTTGAAGTAATCGTTGGTACGTGAATTGGGAAGAGCTTCTTAGAGAACTTTTTTCACAACAGAAGACTGAAGGAATCACCGATAATAGTGAAAAGGAAAGGGGAGAGTGGATCTCCTTGTCAATCCTCTTTTTGCAAAAATCTTCCCTCTCGGTTCACCATTTATAAGAACGGAGAAATTGACCGAAGAAAGACAGCCTTTAAGCCACATCCTCCACCTTTGGCCAAAGCCTTTGAACTCCATAATGGCATCTAGGTAACCCCAATCCACCTTTTCATGGGCTTTTTTCAAGATCTAGTTTGATAGGAAAAAAAAAAAAAACCTTCCTTTTTCTTCTCTTTCCAATCCCCCACAACCTCCGAAGCCACCATGATTGCGTCAATAATCTGTCTCCCCTTTACAAAAGCCGCTTGAGCATCATCAATGATAAAAGGAAGGATTTTTTTTAGTCTGTCAGCCAGCACCTTGGAAATTATTTTATACAGGGAAGTGATCAAGCTAATAGTTCTATACTCACTTACTCGGTTTGCTCTTATCTTCCTAGGAATGAGGCAAATGTAAGTTTCATTTGTCCTATTGTTAATAGAACACCTTTACTATATTTGGTTTCAAGATGTTCCAAGTTTTTTTAAAAAACTCATTTGTCATACCATCCAAACCCGAGGACTTTAAATTTCCCAAGCATTGAAATGCTAGACTTTAAATTTCCCGAGAATTGAAACAAAAAGACTCAAATACCGTTAAACTGAAGAAACATTTCCTCACTACCAAGACCAAAAAGAATAGTTATCATCTATGACTGAAGATAGATAATGTGAACCTTTTTTCTCCCAACATAGAAACGGTCACTTAAGTCTCTTTCCATCCCCCTAGAAATGAGTTGGGAAGCACATCCACCAGCATAATGAAAAGAAAAGGAGACAATACATCCTTTGTAGTTTGTGCAATGAGAACAAACCATATAAATATGTGAATTTCACTAAACTTTTGTCTACTAAAACAATGTAGGATTTGCTACCCTCACCTCACCAAAAAATAAAAAAAGAAAAAGAAAACCCCTTATATTATTGATAGAGCATTTCAAACTCTTTATTCCATGCCCTCCAACCACACAAAAACAAAAAACAAAAAACAAAACAAAAGGTCAGCACAAACATCAAGTAAAGAAAATAACAAAAACAGGGAAATGAGAAAGCATTAGATGCCCAAAAAACTTACCTGCAATGCCCCCCAAACACCAAGGTTTTCCAAACAAAATATGATATTATCATGCATTCGGCATAATAATTTCTTGGTGGCCCGCAGATCTTCATGCTCTCCTTTCATCTGACCAAGAACCACTATGCACTGCTCTTGTCGCAAGAAAAGCAAGAAGTTGAGGTCAATTTAGATAACAAAGCTAAGACAAAGACTAATTGCCAAAATACCTGGCGTTTCATGTCCTCGAGTAGGCTACAGTAAGTCATAAATGAGCCAGATAACCCATTTGCAACAGGACCATAATAATATATTTTAACAAGTGGCGATGACACAAATGCATCCAGTTCTTCCCTATCTTCAACTGAATAAACCTACGAAATGTCGGTCAAATTTTATAAGCTAAACTTTTCTTGACCATAGGGATAAAAATAAATTCTTGGAATATGTTTGGTTGGCAGTTGTGATTTCAAGTCTATGTTTGCTCAAATTTTTGGTGTTTCCTCGAGGAAATTTTAATACTCCAATGGGATTAGTTTTTAGGTTTGACACATGAAAGCAGAACAGCGAAGAATTGTGCTTGATCTATGAATAGTTAGAATTGTTATTTTTTTCAAGAAAAAAAGAGTCCAGTTTAGTACTTGATTGAACCTTCGTATATTTAACATAAGTGGCCTTTCCTCTGACCTTACCTTGTAATTCTTTAAGATTCATTTATTAAGCTGTAGCATTTTATGATTTTCTATATGATAATTACAGTCTCTTTATCAAAAATAATAATAACTACAGTGTTTCTCATTAAAATATACAGATATATATACCTCAGGTAGTTCCACAACCCACCTTTGCATCAAGTAACTTCTCAAGACTATTGATGCTTTTAGATAAATTTTGCTGATTGCAAGCACCTGAATTAGTAGAAGTAGAACAATGATCTGAATAAAACAAACTGGCAAGCAAAGGCAAGACATGTCATCTACAATAAAGTAGAAAATATCCCAAGAAAATGAAAATCAAAACATCCAAGGATTCTTGTCACTCTCAGAGTACAAACCTTAGGAATGACACTCATACTCACAATGATCAATAAGGTTCTCTATATAAAGGAGGGCCCCCTCCTCAACATTCTTAGAACTGCTTTCCACTTAATCAGATGCAACCCCTTCCCTCCATCCTTCCCAAAAAAAATATTTTTTTCCCCTAAAATACAGCCAACTGACGCGAGCAACTTTAAACCGAGAAAGCAAAATAGAGGATTCCACTTAACACAGGTTGGATCAAAATTAACCTCCCTTCTTTCATCAAAAAAATATTATCATCAGTAGATCCCAGAAAGAACGAGATCAAGAGTCCACATGGGCAAACCTAAATACATAAAGTGTAACCGAACAACCTCACAACTCCACCTGCTTAGTTGAGGATCACAATTGACCCACCAGCCACCAAGATATGACCAATTAAATTTACCAGACAACAACTCAGAGACTAAAAACCCAATTAGAAAAAGTAGATTCAAGGAAGAAAATATTATCATTTACAAACTGCAATCATCATGACATAGACATGAAATAGAAGCACTACAGAAACAAAAATTGTTGAAACCAGATGCCTGATTCTATGAACAAAAACCCGGTAATTCAAGAATCCTGCACTGGTACTTAAAAACACTGTAAAAAGCATGGACATCTTTATGACAAAAAATTCCAAGGATTCATAGTGTTACCTATTTTATAACCTTTGCAATTATTAAAATAAAGAATGTGTACTCAGGAAAAATAAACTGATAGAACCGAAGAATAGGCTTCTTATGAAATTCAAAATATTATAAAAGGATATACCTTTTCCTACAACTGGAGATGCAGTCATGCCAAATATCCGGGGTCGTTTAGCCACATTTGTTTTATAGAACACCTACATAAATATTGGACATAAATTATATTAAGAAATTAAGCGGTCAGCAGGAGAGATATCAACCCTTCTGGCCCAAGTACATATATGCATATAGAAATCCTTAACTCTCATGATTTCTGCATAAGAATGGTCACTTTTGACTTGAGCATGATGGCATTCATCAAATATTAGAAGTTCAACAAACTCCATCTTGATATAGCAGTGGTGTAAAGTGCGCAGTAATATTTCAGGGGTCATGACAAAAACCTGCAAAAGATCATGGCATAAGATGTAAATGAGATCAAGAAGAAGATACAGAGAACTTTTTATGTGTGCATTGAAAAATATTCATTTCTATTGAACTAAACGATCTAAACTAATTATTTTCACCATCTTCTCACAAGACACTAACATTAAAACAAATCATAATAGAATCTTTTTGGTTCATAATAAAATATCTGTAATGTAACAAGTTAACCATATTCTTTTTTAATATTCCAATCTCAAGAATAAATACCATGCAAGTATGGCTGACTAGAAACAAATATATTAACAAACCAAAAGCAAAGACGAGAAAACCTAAGGGCAGGTCAATGAGAAAGCCCCCTCCCAACAGAAACTAATACATTAGCGCTTGGCAATCCTAACTTAGATATATCAATAGGTATAATATAAACGGATAGTCACCTCATGTTCTTCCATCTCTCTTTCCCAATCATAATGGCTATTCAAGCACTTGGAACCTCCACAGTAGACCCTGACCTTGAAATCTGTAGAGTCTTCTATAACCTTTGCTTGCTAAAATGTGACAAGCAACAGAAAGGATCCTTTACATTGAACTTTGGCATCATTCGTACACATATTGATAGACATATTTCATCTAAGATCATTTATATAAGCAAATAGATTTTTGACATTAAGCGTGCAATTAGTATGCATAAAGTAACTTTAAGATGAACTGTATACATAGTCAAAAATAATTGTAGATATAGCCAAATTATATGTGTTATACTCAGCAAACAGGAGAACAGGAAATTCTGGGTGCCAATGGTGAAAAAAGAAAAAGAAAAGAAAAAAAATGATTTGTTATGGATAACCAAAAGCAAAGGTATGAATATCATGGCAAATAGAAAATGTTAGAACGTACATACAACAAATGATGGCATGTGATAACGTGTGGACCAAATAGTACTTAGAGGCTGACATATATGGTATCTTTGGAGCTACTGGACAAAGGCATAAAATGTAAACTATACAGGGAGAGGTTGTTATCTGATAGCTCATTGCTTAGTTTATCAACAAAACTTGAGAGAAATATTGTCAACAGGGAATATTTTCTCATGTTTTTTGGTGAAGAATGAAGAGCGTCCATTATCTCGAATTCTCTTCAACACTTTCTCAATCAGAAGTATATGCCTTTATTTGAATAAGAAATAATCAAGGAGCTAGAACTTATTAGCTAAGCTCGTTGTGGGTCTAACTGTTGTTGAAGCTAACTTGGCGTTTACTCTGTGAGGAAGTCAAGCAGTCATGAAACCATCTTTTGATTTTCAGTTGTTCCCAGCTATTTAATAAAGAGACAAAACAGAACCTAGTCTGTTTGTCGCAGTCATTCATTGAAAAGTTCTTGAAACGTGGTCTTATCACTTGGTTGATTTTCTGTTAGTTACAAACTTTTACTCTTGTTTTGAATTTCTTAATTGCAATTTGGTAGTTAGCTTACCACGTAGTATTAGGTTCCAAGGGCCAACTTTCACGTGAATGAAAATTTATTACTCTTTTAATGATGTCAAGTGCAAAATATGACACTTCCATGCTTCCTTGATTAAAAGTTACAACACAAACCAATGAAAAATGGTGATGCCAATAGGTGAAAGAGATCAAGGCCTCACCCTACCACTACGCCAAATTTCAACAAGGAAAAGACAGAAATGTACTCAGTTTCTTCCCATTATAAAAACCACTAAATTTCTGCATAATTTCAAGTTTCAACTTGAGAAGACGGCAGACAGAATTTATTTACGTCAATTAACTATCATACGAGAATAGTTTTGGGGGGCTACTGCCCGTTCACCTGCTGTACTAAAGCAACTGTAGGTGCCAGAAAAACACATATACCCTTCTGGGACCTCCTGATTAAGTGCCTCATCTCGTACATCAGAAGTACAGCGATATGTGTCTTCCCACATCCTGTCCCAAGATACAGAATGATATTCTCTTCCAAAGCTTTCTTGCACAGCTCCAATTGATATCTACAAAAAGACAGATGAAAAAATATTATAATCAATTTGTAATAGTGAAACTAATCTGTATGAAATTTAAAAAGGGAACGAAAACAGCTGATAGTGATAGAACGTTGAGCAGTTCAGTGAAATCTTCGCCTTCTTTCAAAAGAAACAAGTATTTCGTTGATGTGAGTAGTTCTGTAAAATCTCAAAATTAAGTTCAAGGGAAAGCATGAACTTAAGACACGCGTTTCACACAGGATGTATATTTGAGAAAAGTTACATAAAATACGAAGTTAAAAGAATGAGATAGCGTAAATATGACTTTCAACTACTCAGCAAATTCATCACTTAGAACGTTAACTTAACAATCAATTTGTACTTCCTTTAGGAAAGCATTAAAAACATTGTTGATAGTTGAAAAACTAAATGCGACATTGTGACTGTAAACACAGCCAAACAAATGCACTAAAAATATAACCTTATGAAATGACTTACTTCCTTGCTTTTCTCCTGGGATCTTTCTCTGATGCTCTTGAGCTTGGACCCGGTTCTTGATCATCCACCAGAGACAGACCCACAAAACTCTCAACAGGCCCCAAACTAGTGTGTTGAAAATTGTCGCTATCGGCAGCCATAGAATTAGTATCCCCATCAGGCATCATAAACCCAACTCCCAGCTCGCCGAAGGTAAGAAAAAACAGAGAGAAATGGGAAAGAAGATACAACCACAGAGCAGAATGAGCTTTTCCCGTTGGTCAGAATGTCAGATATTGAGAAAAAAGCAGAGCACAGTAAAAGAAGGAAAAACAAACACTACGCTACGTGCTCTGTAAGCGAGTAATGTCTTGGTCTTCGGGTGGGCACGCGAATATCCGTACAAATGGGTGGGACCCAAGTCGTGGAAGAAGACGAAGACCAAGACCCAGCAGGTAGAAAGCCTACAGTCACAATTCCAAACTTAATGAGCAAGTAATTCGGTCCCTGTGGAGGTGAAATCTGAGTCGTGAATGTGTTGCAGGCTGATTACGACTTCTTAATCGAGAAAGAGACGACGATTCGAAACCAGATTCTGTGGAATTTATTAATGGAGATTTAGGGACACAGCAGAAAACGGGTTTTTTCTTGTTGGTACGGTAACTTCCTTTGGTTGTCCGCGAGGTTTTCGAAAGGTCCCTGAAGAATTCTCTGCCATGGAAATAAATTAAATGCTGTAGAACTCAACTTGGTTTTTTTGGTTCTTTAATTCAACAAGGTCGCTTCGCATGGTGGTGTCGTCAGTTCTTTGAGAGTCATTTTCTTGCTGCTTCTTGCTGGAGTCGTCGCCGTTTCTTTCTCTCGGTGAGCCGGGAACCGCCATTTTCTGGGACCGGTAGTTTATGGTCTACAACTTTAAAAAGTCTATTTTAACCCTACTAAATAAATCGTAATTTTGAGAGTTTTTTTTTTTTTTAATGAATTATGTGTAGGAATCCAACTGTCTAATTTTGAAATGGTATTTACAAAGCGAATTTAGCACTGCGCTGTAGGTCAGTTTCGAGACGGGAAGCGAAGAGATACTAGAAAAGTAAAGTTTTCAATAAACTGCTTAATTTTCCTAAAAGCCATATTCATTGTCACAAACTCTACTGATGGTATAGACAAATTTATTACCATCTTATCTAACAAATTATACTAAAATCTGCAATTTATTTTTCCTCTTCTCTATCCCTGTTTTATAATTTCGTAATTCCCAACATTGCTCTTACTATTACAAAAAAAAAAAGCTTGAACACCACCCCTGAACTTTCAATATTAGTTCATTACAGTTTCAAAGTTTTAATCTAAAATTAAAAAAAATAGTTATATTTTATCTTTTAATCTGATTACATTATAATTCTCAAATTTTAAGATATCTATTTAAATGTATTACCTTTCAAAAATAAAATAACATGTTGAACATTTATTTTCGAGTATATATGGTAATGTCTTGACATGGCTATATATTAGCACGTGGTCAAGACATTTTTTATAGTGTTTACAGATGGCGTAATGTATTTTCTTAAAATTTTAAGCAATGAAAATTATTTTTTGTTTTTTAGAAAAAGGCATCTCAAATACACCATTGACGGCACATGAGTTGGCGCACCAAATATCAAATCAAAAAATAACTTAAATGACCAAAGTAATTCAATTTTAAAGTTGAAATACTAAAATAAATATTGTATTATATATATATTTGGCAATAAATATTTATAGTTTTTCATTGGAGATTCCCTCCATCATTATCACAATTAACCAAGGGGAAGTAACTCCCAGCGTAGCCCACGTGACAAGTCTTTCCATTCGTAATAAAAAAAACAAATTCTTTTCCGTTCAGTTTATTTATTTTAGTAGCTTTTTCCATTTATTATTGAATAGAAAAATACCAGTATAAATATTTTGTGAATATAGATTAAAAATAATATTTTGTTCACCACGAGAAAACTTCAAACTCCGTGAAGTACGAAAAAAAAAGGAAGAAAAAAAAAGGAAAAATGAGCACCAGCGCCGGCCGTCCCGGCCCAATCCGCCAAAATCCACTCGGTTCATCTCCTTCTTCCGCCATTCCCGGCCACTCCATTCGGCGTACGGCGGCTTTCACGACGCCGCAGAACTACGCCGGCAGCCTCTCCCGCCTCCTCACTCTCAAAGGCATGGATCCCCTGTGGTGCCCCACCCTCACCGTCCAGCCCACTCCCCACGCCATCAAATCCCACATCCTTCCCCCAAATCTCGAATCCTTCTCCGCCGTCGCTTTCACTTCCCGCGCCGGAATTTCAGCTCTCCTCGACGCTGCAACTGAAATCGGCGAACCCTTGCTACCGTCGCAGGGCGAGACTTTTCTAATCGCTGCCCTAGGTAAGGATTCGGAGCTTCTCGACCATGGATTTATTTCCCAAATTTGCCCTAACGCGAGTAGAATTCAAGTCGTGCTCCCTAAAATAGCAACTCCGAGTGGTTTAGTGGAGGCTCTTGGAGTTGGAAACCGCCGGCGGGTTCTGTGTCCGGTTCCTCGCGTCGTGGGGCTGGAGGAGCCTCCGGTAGTTCCGAACTTCCTCCACGACCTGGAGGCGAACGGATGGGTTCCGGTTCGGGTCGATGCGTACGAGACCCGATGGGCCGGACCCGGGTGCGCGAGGCAGCTCGTGGAGAGAGATGAGAAATTGGATGCCATTGTGTTCACAAGTACTGGGGAAGTGGAGGGCCTGCTGAAAAGCTTGAGGGATTTAGGGTTCGAGTGGGAGACGATGAGAAAGAGGTGGCCGGAAATGGTGGTGGCCGCGCACGGGCCGGTGACGGCGGCCGGAGCCGAGAGGCTTGGCGTTAAGGTTGATTTGGTGAGTTGTAGATTCGATAGCTTTAACGGTGTGGTTGATGCTCTTCATTCCAGATGGCAGAGCTTAGAACAGAACCCTAACTGAGAAGTGTACGAACATTCCAAAATTTTGACAGTAATTTCGCCATTTTTAAAGCTGAATCTTCTTTTAGTATTCGTCAGTTCATCTTTCGCGTTTCTGCTTATCCACCCAAATCTTCAACCCTCTGTTTTGCTTCTCCTTCGATCAAAGCATGTAAAATTAGATGGCCCGAGCAAGGATTTAATCCTCTCCCTTTTTGAACTGCTTTCTGTTCTTCTTCCAACAATCTGAATCTGTATCATATTTGCCTCTACCCTTTCATCAGTCTCGTTGCTATACCAAATCTGTCCATTAGAAACGGCAATCGTATTGCAAACTTCTCGATAATCATTTCATTTTTTATTTGGGTTTTTAAAATTAAACTTACTATCATATCTTATGGTACTACTGCTCGAAAAAATTGATTCCTAAGGAGGTGGTTGGAATTTGAACTCTTTCTTTCTTAATTGTTTTGATTTACTTTGCTAGAATGGTTCAATCATGTTTTTAAGAGAGATGATCAAACTTATGAAATTGTAAAAAACAAACCTAATTTTTCAAAGCATAAAACTAAAAATAAAAGGGTTATCAATCAACATTTTAATTTTTTCGAATGTTTTTTTTCCTTCACCCTCATTATTTTATATAATTGGACTACTTTTTATATATGATTTGTTAATTTGATCAGTGCATTATATCAATATTTAAATACTATTAAATCAACATGGAATTTTGGAAGATGTTAAAAATTCGAGGCATTTACAAAATAACACAAAATAAATACGTGTGTTTAAATATAACATAGTGTTTGAAATTTTACAAAATTAATGTAAGGCAAATCAAATTCAAATGTAAAAGTTTAAAACACTAAAAAATTCATACTTTTTTTGTTGGTACTCATACTATATTAAGTTGTCTTATTTTTTTAAAACACATGTTTGTTTGTTTTTTCTTATTTGAGTCCTTAAAAGTTAAAACACGTGTTGAAACGTATGCCATAGTGAAATTTAATATTATTTGAAATTATTAAGTTAAACAAGTTGACCCATGTTATATATTTAATATGTTGGGCCTAATTAAATCGACCAAAAATAACGTATTTACAATAATATGAATACAATTAGTTAATAGAATAATATTATAAAAATATAAAAATTGACAATTAAATTATATTTATTTATTATTTTTGTTATATGATTTATTGTTATTGAATATAGATCCATTTATGATTGTATATAAAACAGTACAAACGAAAGGGTTGTCCACTGTTGTTCAATAGGTTAATGTACCTATGTCCAATCAAAAGATTGCAAACTTGAATCTCCATCCCTATATTTTGTAAAAAAAAAAGGAAACAAATTCAATTTTGAATCATATTGAATACAAAATTTAATTTTATGTCTTATAGGTTTATTAAGTTTTAAACGTGGAATATATTAGAAACTTATGACAAACAAAAAAGAATTTCAAGAATTTATGAGATATTTTAAAGTTGAAAAACCTAATAGATAAAAATTTTAAAATTCAAGAAACTATTATAAACAAATATGAAAATTTATAACCATGGAATTTGGAATTCCAGGATAGAATATTACAAAATACAGGGCGGGAATTCGAGCTCCTTACTGCCGCGGGAAATTTGGTTTCATGTATGTAATCTGAAAATTTTCATACTTCCTTCGCTTAAGATCTTTCTAAATTGCTTCTTCTGCGTTTCGGAGGTTTGAATGACAATCAACAAAGGGATAGAACTTAATGTATATGGAAGTTTTATTGTTCTATTGATTTATCGTTGATCAGATTTCGACGGAGAATCATATGCCATCCTTACTCTGTTCATCGTCTGCAATTGGAGGCATGATCTTCTTCCAGAACCAGTGCTTTCTCCACATCAGTATCATCTCTTCAATCGGAATTCCTTTCGTTTCGGGCAGGAAGATGTAGACGAAGACGGTCATCACAGTGATCCAACCGGCGAAGAACAGGAAGATGCCGTACTTCAGACCGCAGAGCAGGGAAAGAAACGATTGCGCGATTATGAAGGTGAAAAGAAGGTTCACTGCTACTGTGATGCTTTGTCCGGCCGATCGAGTTTCCAAAGGGAATATCTCGCTCGGTATTGTCCAACCTAGTGGCCCCCATGACCATCCGAAGGCCAGAACGAAGAGGCAAATCACTATCACCACCAGAATCGAGAACCCTTTTGGTAGCTCCTGGTTGTTCCCAAACTTTACCCCTAGGATAATAGCGACCACGACCTGTTTTTTTTCACACGAAGAGTCAATAATCAGCGATTTGGAAGCTTGAAGGCGTCTGATGGACTTCTGTCTCTTCTATTGATGTGTAAGTGAACAATCTCTCATTCAATCTCATTTGTTTTGTTGTTTTTCAACCGAGTTAGGTTAATTCACCAGCATTTCACATCAAAGAATAAGGACTATTTCAAATTTTAATTAGTTAGCAATAGCATGATATTGAAAGATGATGGAATCTTGCCTGGCATGTTATCATTTGTATTCCACCAGAGATCAGCAGTACTCTACGGCCCAATCTGTCGACGGTTGCTATCGAAATCAGCGTCGAAGAGGCTAGAACTGCTCCTGTTGCAGCTGAGGAGTAGAGAGCAGCTTCTCCCCCAAACCCCATGCTCTGAAACAACACTGGAGCATAAAATAGAATTGAGTTTATGCCTGTGAGGATCTGAAATGTTGGCATGAAAATTGACATGACCAACTGTGGTCTGTTTCTCCTCTTAAAGATGTTTCTAAAAGGATGTTTGATTGAATTAGCAAATTCACTTGCTTCTAGGATGTCTTCATACTCTGCATCCACATCGTTTGTGCCTCGGATTTTCTCAAGGATTTTTCTTCCCTTTTCTTTTGCTCCCCTCTCCATTAAACTGTTGGGTGTCTCAGGTAGAAGAAAGCCTCCCACCGTCATTAACAGAGCTGGAAATGCAGCCAAACCCAGAGAGAGTCTCCATCCCCATGGATCAAGCTTCTGTGTTCCATAATTGATCATATTTGCCGTGAAGATCCCAAGAGTAGTTGCCAGCTGAAACATCATGTTCAGGCCTCCCCGAAGATGAGTTGGTGCCATCTCTGATAAGTAGAGTGGAACTGCCTTTAACGACAAAAAAAAAAGCATTAATATATTAGGAATGAGGTGAAAATGAATTCCTTTCTAGTCAAAGTATCTAATATTATTACTTTTTGCATTTAAATGATTGCAAATGAAGGGTGCTTATGTAACGCAGTCCATTTTCTTAATTATGTGGTGCAGGAAAAATACCTGATTCCCAAAGCCGATGCCTACTCCGAGCATTATTCTTCCTAGGATGAGCATTTCAAGATTGACAGCGGCAGCATTTAGAGTTGCCCCCACAAGAAAACTAATCCCACCGCAGACTATGCTTGCACGGCGCCCGTAGTTCCTGGTGACGGGAGAGGCCACCAATGAGGAAACTAATCCAGCAAGATATAGGGAAGAGGTAAACGCTGCAAGCCCTTGATTATTGTACTTGCAGTAATTGTTTTCGTGTGCACGCATCTTGTTTTTGTGCACAGTGGGAAAGAATTTTTCAAGGAAGGGATCCATAGATGTCACCCCACCTGTTGATCATAAAGTTAACATTTCAAAAAGATCCTTTAAATGTTTGATTCGTTTACTCAGATCCTATGGAGTCCTATAATAGTCGTGGGGAAAATCAGGAAATTATGAATGTTGCTTTTTGCACCATCTTACTTAGACCCACAACTTAAAGTTGAGATAACTCTTGTGGTTCGTTTATTCCTGATTGCTTAATACTGCTATCCTTAGCTAAATTACTCTGCATCAAAGTCATAAATTTTTATATTCTTTTGCTGGATATTCTGAGATCCTTACCCCCCCACCCCGACATCATCAAGAAAAAAAGAAAAGTGGAATAGCCTGAGATAATCTTGGAGATTCTCCACTTTTCTGGAGAAAATCGAAGATATTCTGTATGAAGTTGGATACAGAAAACAGAAAGTACCTGAAATTCCTATATCATAACCAAAAATTGAGCCACCAACAGCAGCCACAAGACATGCAATAACCACATAAGGTGTGACTCTTCCTTTGTACTGCTCTGCTCTCTCCTTGGCCACTCCAGCCGGAGCGAGAGACCCACCTGCCATCTTCACAGATCTTCACTTCTCAACAAAAATCTCTACTTCCTCGGTTCAATCTTCAATTCTCAACGCATGAAGAACCTGTTATCTGTTTCTAACCTTTCGGGGATTTCTTCAGTTTATTAGGGGGTGAAGACTGAAGAGGGATCGCCCCTATTCACCTACATAGGAAGAAAGATGGGAAACCAAACTTTAAATATTTTGGTCAGGGAGAATTAAGTCCGTGTCTTAGCTATCTTTTTCCTTTAAATTTTAATGGCAATCATAAAACAATCATACAGCTTCCAGTAGACCAAGTTTATTTTTAGTTTTTCTTTTTCTTTCTTTTTTGTTCTCTAGATATTTGTAATGGGGTTGCGTTGAATTTGTTACAAGTTTGGTAGTTGAGATTTGCATTGACTATCTACTTATTTGTTTGATTTTATTGGCCTTCGGGGTTTAACTTTATTAACACTGAATAACTCCCCTTGTTTTGTTGATAGCTTGGTATATTTTGTCTCATTCAAAGTCGAAGTTGTCACCCAGTAGCTTTTCCCCTCAACAGGTAAGTCTCAAAATATGAAGAGAGAGATGAAGAATTTTATGCTTTTGTCTTTAAAATCCGGGTTTTAATAATTTTTGTTATTGTTCACCTAAAATTATTATTTATCAAACTTGTGATTTTAGAACGGAAGATGACTTTTGTTTTATTAAATAGATCATTTGCAAAAACATAATAAAAGAAATAGTATCTAAGCATATTCTAGAAAGTTATTTTTCCTGAACAATTTTCAGAAATTTGTTCGTATTTCAATAATACCAAGTGTGTTCATCTTCCACTGTAAAATCAATACAATACACACATAAACAGACAAAAGATTATTGTTAAATCTTCAAAATTGTTTCAATTATTTTTTAGATATTATTAACCTGAAATAACAGATCTTTCAATGACAGGCACTGAATTCTACTTTTCCAAGGCTTGGTTAAGCTATGTGATGTGTGTACGTCTGGAAAAGAGCTGTTTCTGGAAAAAGGGGCCCCTGTCTTTCTGAGTTGGCATCATCATTTTGTAAGTTATATAGTTGTGAGCTAAGCTCCACTTGGAGACATTGCTGATTTCAAAGACTTTGTTGTGTGTTTGTTTCTTTGTCTCTTTTGATTCTGAATTCTTTATCAAAACTTGTCTGGACTTGCTTCCTGAAATGACATGCTTAGCTCTTGTTGCAAGTTGCAGCTAAAAAGTCCATGCTTTTAATGTGGGTATTAATTTCCTGAGTCCATTCCCACCAAATTAAGATGCAAACTTTATTACAATTAAGACCTAGAAAATGGAAGAAAATGATTTGCTGATTTTAGTGATCGATATTCCAACACCAAGTAAAGGAGGTTAGAATTATAAATTTAGTCCCTAAATTTTTTTACTGTGCTTATATTTATTTAGCTCATAAACTTTTAGAAAATTTTAATGGCGTATTTGAACTTTAGAATTTAAATTATGGTCTTATTTGCTCTGTGGTTGATGTCTGAATTAATTTTATTCGAATTTTGCAGAATATAGCAGGCTGGCAACCGTGGTCAATACCTTATGTGTTCATATGGAACATGAATTAGAGAAGAAGAAAGTTTGGAAAATGGTTCAAACACAATTCAAAATATTTAAATGAACAATTGATGATTGAAGTAATTAAGTCGACTAATCAAGTTGGCATTTATTTTTTTAAGATTATTATTATTAAAATTTATAGATAGCAATATCTTGATTGTAACTTAACCAGCCAGGAATATCCATGGACTTGATGCACGAACATGCTGGTTATGAGGAAGAATAAAAGACACAAATTTGAGGCTACCATGTGCCGTGGATTACTATATATAGTCTCCTACATGATCATTGTTGTTTTATTATTTTAATATAAGTTATCAATTTCACAGACAAATATCTTTTAAATTAAATTTAAAATTATTGTGTTGTAATTTATTAATTGGTAATTCACAATAATGGGTCAAATTGAATAATAATTTTTTATTTTTTTTTGTACAATACACGTGGGATGGAAGATTGAACTTCTAATTTATAAAGAATGATCAAGACGTCTTAATCTTTGAATTAGGTTGGCAAATTGTGGAATGAATTCATTGAAAATGATACTATTACTTTTGAAAGATGCTAATATAAAGCACCTTTTATAACCTATACTTTAAATTTTAGTAATCTTTCCTTGTATATCTTCTCTAAAATTTTTAATTAAAAAAATTAAAATTTTATATGAAATTAACAATGTTCTACAAATAATTAATTAATTATATAAATTCACAATTTTCACCCTAATATTCATGACCAAGAATGACGTATAACTTCAAAAGGAAATAAATTAAAACAATTGAGTTCAAAGACCAAGTCACATAACCTGCCAATTGTTACAGTACCATGATAGAAAAAACATATATATTAAATATGAACAATTAAGCATATATTAAACATCTTATTAGAATGTACCTTGAAATTAGAATTGATCACAATTTTCCTTCAATTGCACTGTGGAACAGCACCCCGATTTGGTCCACAAATCCCCTCACGATCAGCCCTTTTGAGCCCTTTCTTTTCGGTGCACACCAAGTGTTCGACCAAATGACTAACAGAGATCACAAACATATGTTTTCGCTCTCTGGTTAATGAATAAATTAAAACACTGCATAAACCATGATTAGTCAAGGAAATCACAAACATTTCATTGCATGATTAAAGCAAAAAAAAAAAAAAAAACATATAACCAAGGAAATGGTTAATCATATAGCCATATAACATTTCAGAAAATTCCATCAACATCTAACTGCTCAAATAGAGAAATTATTGTTTATTATTTCACATAAGATGGAGAAATTAAAATCAAGGGAAATCACATATAACACTATAAAAGTTAGGAAATTTCAACTCATATTTTTCGCTTTCAATTGTCGGAAAAAACTGGAGGGGAATGAAGCTGTCCTGAAAGCGAAATTTCAACTATTTTAACCCCAAGATACATGCACTGAGCTGGAAAAGATACTACAGCTACCCAAAGAAGAGATATAAAAGGAAGTGTATTGTAAAATCAAAACCAAGCATCATATGTTCATAGAAACAAAATTCTATTTTAGGTGGTTTTAAAAATAGCAGGGTTAAAATTAAACTCAAAATTTAGTAAAGGAAAAAGAAAAAAAAAAACTTCTTTTTGACTATGAATTAGTCATTCCCTTCCCAACAACATCGTTACAAGCTCTTAGAGTTGATACGTGTTAACTCACATCCACCTGAAGAAGTAAAATGTAACAAGTCTTTTCCACTTTGAGGTTGTTCATTTAGGAATATATTTTTTGGATTATCCAAAATATCATGTCATTAAAGACAAGTCGTGAGTTCACATTTCTACCCTATATATTGTACTAAAAAAATATATATATCTAAATTATTTATTGGTGTCATAAATAAGTTTAAGACGTGGTATATTATTTTGTTGAGTGGAGTCTAATAAATTATATTTATTAGATAGAGACTAAAGAGTAATCGTAAATATCTACTTGTCAGAGATAATTAATGTGTTAAATGAATTCAAACCTTCACCCTATGATATATATCTTAATTGATTGAACTTAATTGATTGAACTTTGTTATTAAATATAAAAACAAGGTATCGCCACAAAATAAAATCAAGACATTTATGATTTTTTTTTTGGTTGAGTTCTTATGTGATTGTTTATGCTCCACGTTGATTTGCTTTATTTTCCCAATGATTTATTAGGGTTTGAAATCAACGACCAAAGGATCCTGAAAAATGACGTTTTCTTTCTTTCTTTTCATTTATAATTATTACATGGTTCACTATTAAGATCTATATAATGTATTTGATATTTCAAACTATTAAAAAATAATGCACTATTTTTGTATCAGGTTCATCCTTGTTGATTGAACTGAATTCCCCCTACCTCTCAATCTCCAATCTCAGATACATTAAAAAGAGAGCGTTGCCCTTGCAAGAATTTCAATTTCGGGCCAACTACGTAATTCTTTCCTATTCGACGTCTTAATTGTTACAAAGGGAGATATACCGTTGCAGATTCTACTAATATGCCTAATAACGAAAGAAGAAAATAGCTTAGGGAAGGGCTTATGTCCCCAACAATCGAGTTACTTTCTACTTGATTACCGAGTAGTCGGGGACGGCTCCTCTCTTAAAAGTTTTTTGCGAAGGAATTTTTGTAGCTTGCAGTTTCTAAATATATAGTAGTTCTGGTAAAGCAAAAATCCAGTGTCAACCCTTTAGTTGTAAACTACCCACCACTGATTTTGATCTACTATTGGTTTTTTCTATAACAAAGACTGTAAATAAACTCAGGTTTAGAATGTCATACAATGAGCTCCACAAAACAAGAGGAAGCAAAACTTGTGACCAAGTACTGTTGCTAGATTATCTAGTTCCCTGTTGAATTCGAATGAAGAAATAAGACTAACACACGATAGATCATCCATCTGCAAAGAGCTAACTGCTTTCACTCCTCGAACACCGCTGCGCTTCTTGTTGGTTTGTGAATTTTTGGGCACGAGGATTATTCAGTCCAGCTTCACAGAAGAGAACAAGTAGTGCACGAACCAGAACGACGAGAGGAATCCAACTGTTCCAGTTGTGAACATGATTACAAGAACCATGAAGAGTGAATAACCGAGGTAGAGAGTGGCTGAGACAGGTCCGCTCAAGCTCTTAAGATCGAATATCAGATAGTTAATCGAGTACAAGAAGATGTATATGGCAACTGAACCAGAAGCAAAGAAAGACTTCCACCACCATTTCCAGTCTTCCACACATAGATGCATGTAGGTTAGAACCAGAGATACCTCAGCACAGACAACAACAAGAAGCACCAACACTATGAAGAGAAACCCGAAAACGTAATAAACACGGCCCATCCAGAGGCTAGACATGATAAAGAAGAGTTCGATGAACAAGGTACCGAAAGGAAGAGTGCCAGCGCCAAGGACTAACAGCCATGATGGGTACTTCTGAGGTGGAATTTCCCGAGGGATTTGATTCGTTCGAACAGGATACTCAATATGTGGTGCCTTGGCACCAAAATACCCACCAACAAGAGTAAGAGGAACTGATATACAGAACCACAGCAAAAGTAGAATAACGAAGAGCGAAAATGGAATGGCACCGGTGCTATGACTACGCCATAATAGAAAATTCAGTGTGGTAAGAATTAGAAAGGCAATGCCAGGGAAGAAACAAGCAGCCTTCCACGAGACCGAAACCCATCCTCTGTGGTCACCAATACTGATAGTTCTCCAAAGACGTACAGCAACATAACCTGCTGCAATACCGAGAATCATATAGAAAAATAGCATACCTGTAATAAGTGTTCCACGGGATGCTGGGGACATGAATCCAAGAGCAGCAAACAATATGGTCACAACTGCCATCCCAAGAAGCTGAACTCCATCGCCAACCATAATACACAAAAGTGCAGGATTGGCTGGAGCACGGAAAACATCCCCCACAACAAGCTTCCAACCAGATAACTCCTCGTTCATCTGCGCTTGAGCCTCCTTGTCAAGCTCCTCATAACGTGTAAGATCTCGTCGAACAGTCCTCAAGAAAATTACAAGAACAATACCAGCTAGAAACGTTATTACCATCAAAGAGTTCAAGATTGAGAACCAATGAACTTTTGAACCCTCCATCTTCAAATAAGCATCCCATCGGGAAGGCCACTTGATGTCACTCTCTTCAAATGTAACCTCATAAGTGAACACTATTGGTTGGCCTTTGTTAATAAGCGTTGATACACTGGTAGGGTCACATTGAATAGAATTTGGATACTTTTGGTACATCTTTAAGTTCTTAACCAAGTCCGCATTGAGCAAAGGACTGCAGGGTACAACCTCGAATCCAACAACCATGTATCCTGGGGCATCTAGTCCCTGTTTACTTAATGTTGGGATCACACCTGCAGCATCACCAGTTCCCATTACGCTCGCCACGTTGGAATCCTCGTATTTGTGAACAAGAACTTTAAATTTCAAATGGTTAAAGACATAGTAGGAACCCTTCACGTTGATTCCTATAGGATACCCTGTCCAACGTAAAGGATAGCCCTCTTTCTTGGTATACCGGATTGCCGGTAAATTGTCCAGGATCAAATTCACCTGATACATCTCATCAATCCTCTTCTTTAAGGTCTTAAACTGGTCATCAGACAATGGATCTGTCAGACACAAGAACACGTCTGTCTGATTCGTGTACATCTTAAACATATATGGCGAGCTCTCAATCCGGTCCCCCATTAGAAGCTCACCAAGATTTTCAGCACTGTCCTTAACACCCCCCTCAGGTTTGCAAAAAGGCAAACTATAATAGCTGAATGGCATTTCGGTATCGATTGAGGTTATGGAATTAACTTTCACGGACAACTCATCACCCACAATATGTTTGAGGGGGTAACTTCCCGGAAGATAAAACCCATATCCAGATTGAAATATCAAGCACACGGTCAAGACCCAGATCCTAAATCCACCACAAAACTCCATTCTTGAAGACTACGAGCTCGATTAGGGTCAGATCTAGAAGAAGCAAATCAAAAAGCGGATAACAGAACAGTAAAATTTCTATCCCAGCATACCAAAAATCAGACAAGAAGGTTTACATAACGTAATCTTGCTAAACGTAAACGAAGTAAAGAGGATAAGAAATGAAAGTCCAGGAACGAACGAAAGAACTTGACTAACCTGAGACATAGAAAACTGGAAGGATGATCTCCGGCGGAGGAAGGAAAGTTTGCAGCAGTGGCCGCCGATTGCTCGAGTTCACGAACTGAGAAATAGTTGACAATTCAGAATTGCAATGGGGAGAGGAATTTGATCTTTTCCGGCATTGTTAATGAATACGAAATGGGCACTGCCGAGGGCCAGGGCTCGATAGAAGTTGTGGCCATTTTCCTCAAAATGACCATTGTGCCCTTATCAATTTTTAAAAATGCCTATTGTTTATGGACTGGCCTGGTCGCTAAAATCTTTTAATTTGGGATGGACATTCTAGATCTACCAAAAATAATTAGTATACAATATAATTATGTAATTTTAACATTTTAATTATTGATTTCGGTAACATAATTCATTTTTTAAAATTTAGATGATGAAAAAAAATGAAATTCTGTCTCGTAAACTTAATTTTGCCCAAGATGTTGTTGGGTTGAGATCTAATATTTTGGGAGTGTTAAAAGAGAGAAATAGAGACTTTTTAAAAAGAAAAATATATACTTCTCTTACCGAACTAAAGATTTTTAATCCAGCTAATGCCAAGAATATTTTTTACTCATCGTATCTTTAATTTTCACCACTAAATTCGATGGATACAATTATAATAATCACTAAAGAATGGCAATATTTGTCCTATATATTTAATATTTTAGAAAGCTTTTAAAAATTTGAAGGAAAAAACAAATAAACAACAATTCTTAGGTTTGGATATGCATGGGGTACAGTTTTCTCCCTCTTTAGATTTAACCTATACAAACTTTTCACGTTAATTGTCACGGATGTTTATTCAAAAGCTATTTTTAAAAAGTTTATGGCTGTTCAGGGGCAGTATTTTTTGAACTTTCGAGGACTAAATTGACCTTGTTACAGACTTTGACAGTGTGTATGAAAATAAATGCACTAGGCATATGATGAAACAATCATTATGATATCTAATCTAAGCTTTGGCCCCTAACCCTCGCGCTTTAGGCCGCCTAACAGGAAGCAAAGGGTTAACCATTCCTTGAGAATCTTTCCCCAATCCCATGCCTTCAACAAATCCCATCTTTGCCATCATCTTGGACCCAAATCCTTTGGTATGCTCTTCAAAAGCCCCAATTTTTTTAGCTTTACCAGAAGCTCCAGTTTTGGCACGAGTAGATCCTCGACTTTCCTGGTTACCACCAGAACTGAAGGCCTCTGAGAACTCGACCCCTAACCCGAGCGATTTAGGCCGTTTGATCACTTCAATGGGGCGGGCCATACCTTGACCATCTTTCCCCAATCCTCCTCCTACAAATCCCATTTTTGCCATCATTTTTGACCCAAAACCCTTGGTGTGCACCTCAAATGCACCGATCGTATCTATATTAATATCTGTGTTCTTGACTTCGCTAGTTGATATCTGGATCGTTTCCAATGCAGTGGTGATCATATCCTTTCTTTTATCTGTATCTGTAACATCGCTCGTTGTTATCTCGACTGTTTCTGGTTGCATCACTCCACATGATACAAATGAGACAGGTTTATCCGCGTACTTTTTGTTGCCAGTCTTCTTCTGACTTGAACTCTTACCTGCAGAACCCTTCGACCTCGACTTCATGCTCCCGGATTGATGGAGCTCCAATATGTGCGAAGTGCTCACTTCGGCATTCTTCTTTTCTCTGCTTCTGTTGCCACCCTGTGATTTCATATTTGAGCCTTTAGCAACAGAAAAGTCATCATCCTCGTCTCTTGCTCCTATTAGCTGGGATTGGGGAAGAGGAGGAAAGAATATTTAGTTTGCTGACCATACAAGAAGTTGATTCCAATAACATCCTAAGAAGAATTCCTAAAACAAAGAGATCTCAACAACCTGCACCAGGCGAACTTGATCACTTGATGATGGCATTCCTGTATATTGTGTTCGAGTTACCGTAACAAACCTGAGGAAAAAATTATAGCAAGTTTAAACATCAACAGTTGACTTGACAAGTAAAAGAAACCAACTTTTACCTTTTTTTACCAGAACCTTGGCATCCACTATGCAAGCGGTAAATTGCCGCCAACCGTCGTACCTAAAGATATTCAAATGTCATTCGACAACAAAAGATCCAGAAGGGGGCAGCCTAAAGGAATCAAGCAGGTTTTCACCTAAAAGGACAAAAATCTAAGGAACATTGTCCCCACACCATGGCACAAACTGATAACCAACTGCAGATGCAGCAGCAAACAATGTACCTGGGAACAATCACGAGGATGCATAGGTTGGAAAGAAAACATATCTTCTCTATTCAGAACCATGTGCTCCAATTTCTACAACTCAAAACAAACTGGAAGATTAGTTAATGCAAAAATAACAGGTAAGCTGGATTTGAACAACCCATCCATCAAACTCTTTTCCTATTTTGTTCCCATCCTATTTTCTAATCATTTTACATCTTTCAACCCCTCTATCCTTAGAAATCAAAGGAGCCCATGAGGTACAAAAGTAAGGCCATCTCTCACCCCCTCCATCTCCTACTCTATCCATTATTACTAAATAATATAACAATAAAATCGAATAATATTCTATGTCTATCCAATATTATTAAATAACATAACAATAAAATAATATAATATTCTATATCTACTGTTGTTTTATTTTTTTAAAATGAAAATCCAAACTTCCATTCAGAAACATTAAAGAAAATACAAGGGCATCCAAACAGCCAAACAAAAGGAGTCCTAAATCTACCTGGACAGAAAAGGACCCAAGGCCTAACTAATAATTACGAAATGATTTAGAGACAGATGCCCAAAGAGAAGTATTGACCATAACCACATATTATACCTCTTCCCAAGACCCCTCAACAACTCCTTGCTCCAGCTTCTTAGGAGGAAGAATTTGACCTTCTTGGAAACAAAGTACAGAGATGAACAATCCTCTCAAGAGTAAATATTTGAACCTTCCCCGATATAACATTTCACAAATTGAGAGAATGAAGGAAAATCAGATTTACTCAGGATGATCTCATGCCATAAAGTGTCTGGCTCTGTAAAGAAACGTCACAACCACTTGGCCAACAGAGCCTCATTGCACAATCTTAGGTTACCAATGCCCAAACCCCCAGCTCCAAAGGCTGCGAGACAATATCCCACCTGACCAGATGGGAACCTCCCTCTTCATCGCATAACAACAAATTCCTGAGACGCAAAAGATGAATACTTTCCTTCCCCACTTTAAAACCTCAATAGTACCCCTCTCCATCCTGGCAACCAACTTGTTGAGAATTTCTAATCACCAAAATAAAAAGAAAATTACAAAGAGGATTGCCTAGCCTGAAACCTCTAAAAAATCTTAACCCTCTTCCATTGACTAGAATAGAAAAATTGACCTTTTTTTTTGGAATCCGTGTGTCTGGGCCAACTTGTGCGCACCTCGACCAATCACGGGCCAACCGCCTGACCCTACTACATTTGGTTGACAAGGTAACTCGTAGGATATTAAATCCTAGGTAGGTGGCTACCATGGTTTGAACTCATTCCCTCTAAGTCATTTGCTATTTACATTGGCCCTCATTGACCACTTGAGTCATCTCATGATGGTTAGAAAAATTGACCGTTCTTATACAACTTCATATCCAAGATCTCCATTTAAACCCAAATCCTTTATTTCAGAGGACCTTAACCAAGAAAGTTCTGCACAATATGATCATACGCTTCTTCAAAATCTATCTTAAAAATCACTCCTTCCTGTTTCCTCTCTTTGTAATTCTCAATCACCTCATTAGCCAATAACACTTGGTCCAAGATTTGCCTTCCAGCAATAAAAGGTCCTTGGGAATTAGAAATCATGGTTGGAGGACTTCCCTTGATCTATCTGCCAATGTTTTAGCAATGATCTTAAACGAAGGCTCAAAGAATTATCAAGAAACAATATTTTTATTTCTATCGCAATAGGATTTAGAGTTCCAAATACAAGAGAAAGTGCATCATTTTTATGAAGAATGAGATATGAGAGTTTTCTGTAAGTTTTGTGAAAAGAAACCACACATAACTAAACTTAAGATGTCCTCCCGAGCAAGGTTCTTATTGAACAAATTATTTATTATTCAGATTTCAGGTTGCATGCTACAAAAGTGATGAATGACCTCAAAGACTAAAACTTTAAAGGAAATCCAACATAAGTTGACAAATAAATGAATGATACCAGATTTATTTGCCCTAGATCAACACCACGACTAATCATTCTTTCTCGACGCTTTGCTGCAATTGTTTCTTTACGATATTTCTTCTTTTCACCTGCCAACAATCACAATAATATTATACGTCAAATTTACCAGAGGAATTGAATTGCACATGACATAGGAGCAGAAAGTCGATTTTATGAATACTACATTTTCCCTTTATTCCTGGAATCTGGATATTAATTTTTTTTTCCACCATTTTTCTTTTTTTTTTTAATACATAAAGTCCCATATTCTTCAAAAGATTGTGTCCCAAGGAGTTACGGACCATTTAACTGGTAGGCTTAGGTCTTTTCCTATCCTTATATTTGTTTCATTTAATCAATGGAATAGTTTATCATAGAAAACAAAAAGGGCCGAGGACCACTACAGGGATAGAATTTTATTCTATTGATGGAAAAATGGATCTGACTTATACGTTAAAAATGAGATCTTTACCAGGATACTTTCTAGCTACTTTACTTTTTGGAGCTTTTGGAGGCCAAGAACATGGAGACTGGGCAGCATTCTTCTTCTTTTTAGCTGATGTAGTTCTACTATCTTTTACTAGCAAGTCATCCAGAGCCAATGATGACCAATCATCTCCCGATACAATGGAGCTTTTCTTCCTTGATGGTGGGGTTTTCTTCATTCCAAATTCTTTTGATGCCTCCTGCAAAGCAATGCCGCCTAATTTCTCTAAAGTATCATCAAAGCAACTGCTAGAACTATCATCATCAGACTCTACCAACTCTTGTTTTACTAGCCACTTAGAACTTAAAATATTCTCACTTCCACCAATTCCTTCGAGGTAATCTTCAGCCACCTCGTCATCAATATCTGAATCAGTACAAGACATTTCTTCTGAGCTATCACTTTCGGATGATTCACTTGACTCTAACTGCTCAGAGTAATTAGAACTCCCATCCGATGCCTCTCCATCGTCATCACTTTCTTCATAAGATACATCTTGGGTGTATAATCTCATACCACCAATTGACAAGAAACCCGAATTTTTCTCAGAGCACACATCATCTGTATATTTGTTGGGGGCTGATGTTTCTGCTAGCACCTCATTAGTCATATCATCCTCTATCCTACACTCAACCCTCTCGTCAGTACCCATTTCCTTCTCGGATGACAATGAACCAATGCATAATCCTTCTTGTTCTTCCACTTGTGGAGGCGAGCCATCATCTGTGCTGGGACTTCTATCAAGTTCATCATCATCATCATGAAACCCTAGTCCTCTATGAGAACTGTCACCTAACACAAAACTCGTACCATAATCATAAGTGAATTCCAAATCATCCACCTTTAAAGACGGTTTTTCATCTACATAAGCAACAATTTGAGTGTTCTTAGAATCAAGTAATATAAAAGGCTGTGAGTTGTCCAAGCTACAATCTGCATCATTGTGCAAACCCTGTGATTCAGAGTGCAAGCCCTCCTGTGAAAAGCCCAAAAATATCTTTAAAATGAATCTGAACTGGGTTTCTTCTCACTGAAAAGACATAATTGCTATGAAATATAGAACAATAACTTAAAAGAACACGATAAAAATACATTTCATGAAAATAAAATTTTTCCAACATACAAGAAAAATAATGTGTCAAGAAGCCAAGATGGAAATATATCTTTGAAAAAAAAAAAGAATTTCTAACATACCAGGAAAAAGAATGCCTCAAGAAAGGCTAGAAACAATTAAAAAAGAACATTTAATAGGAGAATAAAACTCAAAATAAATTATTAAAAAAAAACTGAGCTAAGGAAGACCATAGAAGAACATTTAACAGTTGATCGCATAAGAAATACCTGATGATGAGTAGGAGGGTATTCGTAGCCAATAGCATTACCATTCGATTTTTTGCTCCCACTAGCGGAAGCAGTTTTTGTACGATCTAAATTAACCGATTTTGATCCAGACTGGCCCTTCGACCTAGAGTTTCCCTCTGTACAAAATATCCAAAGCAAAATCAAGATAAGTACAAAATTCCAGTAGAGAAGTATCAACATAGATAATCGTCTTCATCAACAGAAAAATGAAAAACCCAGCCGCACGCAAGTCGGAGAATTAAGGAAATGCAGAATAAGCATAGTCGGAGAATCGGAAGTGGAATAAGAGGTGAAGAAAAGGCACCTCGAGCAGAACTAGGCGGCGAGGACTGGAACTGCAAATCGGATAAAAAGCCACCGTCGACAAACAAATTTCCTCGAATAGATGACGACGGGTCTGATCTTCTTCTGCCAGTATTTCTCTTATTCTTCCTGAAGCCGTCACTGGCTTTGGCATGAATCGTTCTCCGTCTTCCTCCGGCCATCGGAGACCCGCCACCGCAACCACAACGACGGTGTTTTCTCGAGGAGCTCTACAGGCTAAAAGTCTAGTTCCCGAAATCTGAAGCAAACCGCCACACCGGGGAGCTTACGGTGGATCGGCGCGGTGGACGGATAACAAACAAGGAGAGAAAACTCAGAGTGGGGTCCACTCGGAATCTTTCCAAGGCCCAAAGCCTGCAGCTTTTTGTGGGCCGACTCTACCCACCCGCTTTCTCTCTCGGCCCAGAAAAGCCCAATTTTGTTTTACGTAAATCTTTTTTTTTTCCCTGATTTAGTAAATATGTAGTTCAATAGAAAAAGTAATTCCAAACGTAACCTCATTACTTTTTTCCACCCTTATTAGGACTATTGTATTACCACGTGCAATGCACGTAGATTCCAAACGTAATCAGTTTTTATTTATTTATTTATTCATTATTGGTAAATTTATTCATTCGTTAAAATCGTTTAATTTATATCCAAATCAAATTCTAGTAGATTTCTTCGATTTTATTAAAAAACAATTACAACCAACTTGAGCCATTAAATTATCAACAATTTATTATAAACAAAATTGGTTGGGTTTTCTTAATCAATTTCACATTTAAAGTTTATATTTTTTGAGATAATTGAAAGTAATTAATTTGGGTTATTATTTTTCAATTTGAATTAAAAATGACCACAAACGATGAAAATCATTAGCGTCTGACAACTAGGGGGGTAGTATATTCAAATTCAACAATTAAATATTATTTATTGAAGCTCTTTTTTTTTTCTTTTGAAAAAACATTTTAAACTAATGACCAATTTAAATTTGGTGACCACAAATTTTCAGATTAGTAGGACCATACGATCATCTTCTAACCTTTGTGATTACCATGTGATTTTGTAATTAAATTCATTCATTAGGATGACATTATCCCCAGCTCTTAGCAAAGAGGGATAAATAAATAATCTACATATACTTAGATATAGACTTAGTTAAATTGTGGATGCTAGACCACTAGAGTTAGAATTAAAACAATATTAAATATTTAGTTTCAATCATATATTTTAAGGGGAGAAAATCTTGTCGGTTGAATTAATTAAAACTCTAAATTTTCTTAAGTGAATTAATTTACATCGGCTTCGTTATTAAAATCCATTTAAACACTGTTAATGCCTAATTTTCTTACAATTGTGACTTAATAAATGTAAGATTAAGAAATATTTTAAGGAAATAGGGCGGTTTTCCCTGCTGTTTTTTGCCTCTGGCCTTTATTTTGTTTTGTGTTTTACAACTGTACTAAAAAAATGACTTTTCAAAAATTGTGTTGATGGGTTGTTTTTAATACCTATTTTACAAATGTCATATTTGTGAATATTTTTTGAATTATATTTTCAAGGTTTAATTTAGATTTTTTTTCTTATCAAATTACCCCTCTTTTATTATGTTTATTATGCTTATTTTTTGGTTTCTTAGTAGACTAATTTTATTTAAGGGAATCAGTTGAGACATTTATATCATAGATATTATCTGCGAGTACCAACAGATTTGGAGAAATGCACGAAGATAATTTGCATAAAGAAAGAAGATACTCTAACACAAATTAATAATAGTCACGAGTAATCAAAATTATTGCATGCATGCATATGAAGTATGTATATACATATTTATAGGTATAGGTAGGTGGATTGTCACACCCTGATCGCTTTCAACGATCGTAGGATTCCTGGCGTATGATCGTGATGGTGGTTAACACGGTTACAGGGTGTACCCCGCTTGGTCTTTAATAAAATCATAGTTCGAGGCCTCGACGTGTCATTCATTGTCATTGTGGAATGATGAATTATACCTTAGACCCCGACCGACTTCTTCTTATTCTACATGGAGGACTATCTCATGCCCGCTAACTGATATCTTCCCAACTTAATTATTTTAATTATCACACATATAATTTTCTCTATTATCAGACAAATATTAAAAAATATATATATATTGAACGACATTCTTTAATATGATATTAATGTATAATTAATATCATATTATTAAAGAATGAGTGGCAAATGAATTTCAAATTTTTATCAATGATCTCAAAGATCACTAGAGGCGAGGTCATGTTGCAGGCTTTCTCTTCACTCGCTCTACAACTCTTGTAACACTGCTGCCCATGAGCTAGCTAACCTGCAACGCTTGAAAAAATAGATGTTCATAAATCTGGCTTGAGGCCTACCCACGGTACTGCAGGTTAATTGTCCCATATTTTTTTAGTACAACAATTTAGAGATATGGGGATCGAGTCTCCAACCTGAAGAGAAAGAGTACATGTCAATCACTACTAAACTATGTTCATGTTAGTATTATTGATTCACATTAAATTTGACTAATAATAAATTTACATAACATAATACTTAATAAATTGATAAAAATTTAAAAGAGAAATAAATAGATGGATAGTGTATCATAATGTGAGAAATTAAAAGAAATATGTCCAAGTCTAGGTAAAAAAATTATTTGATAAATTATCTACCAATTATTATTATTTTTCTTTTTTAAACACTCTTGTTTATTCCAAAAAATATTTCTAAATTGAAACAAAGCATTAACATTTTATATAACACTTTAAAAATATAATGTTGATACAGCTAAAAATATCTTTAGTCGTATCGCTAGTGCCAAAAACAATTATATATTTAGAAAAAAAAAAGTTAATAAACAGTGAATTGGCCTAGATTGAAATCGTGTCGTTTTGCAAATAAATTTGAAGTGGTTACATACTAATTAGCGACCGAAATTTTCTTGTAGGAAAGTTCTACCAAATACCAATCTCATTTAATTATTCGAAATTTTAAATTAATTTTATTTTGATCCCTTTGAAGATTTATATTGTAGTTCGTTTTAGTAGGATAAAATTAAGTACATGTTAGTTTTTAATTTATTATTATTATTTTTTTTTTTATAAAAACTTCAATTTTGGTACTTCCTATTAGTATACATCAACCTCTTCCCTGTTTATACCATTTTCTTTCATTATCTCTTCTGAAATTCCAACATTTTTAAGTGGTGTGGAATCACAATTAATATAATTTTTTTTTTCTTAATCTAGTATTGCTATCAACCTTCTTCTTTCATCTCAACATAGCCATGATTCGGTCCTCTATTTTCCAAAGTTCAAATTTCTACCCCACATTTAAAAATACAGTGAAAAAATACAAGAATTGAAATAGAATGAGCCCTAAATCATATAAACCAAAATCATATTCTAACCTATCAAAATAAAATTTAGAGACAAATCAATTTTTACTCTAGACTTGACAAATCATATCAATTTCATACCAAACTTATGCTTTGTAATTCACACATGTGAAAATATATTTCTCAGCAATTCTACCAACAAACTCATCCAAAGATGAAACTTAAATTACTTTGTATCACTTATCAAAATTTAAGGTAAATTTTGATAAAATTTGAAGTTGTGGTACCAATATGAGCATAGTTCAAACTCCCAAAAAGCAGTCCGATTGGCATGAACTTGAAGTCTCTTGATTAAATTGGTGAGAGCAGAATACCAAAAATTCTTGATATCATCTGGATCCAGACTTTGGACAGGCACAAATGTCCTTGAGTACATGAGAGTCAAAGCTTCAACCCCAATTTTATATATATATATATATATATGTCCTTTATTATATTTTTGGACAAAATACATTTTTGGTCGTTGAGGTTTGAGGTAGATGTCTACTTAGTCCATCAAGTTTCAAAATGAAGACTTTTGGTCCCTGAGGTTTGAGATAGGTGTCTAATTGGTCTTTGAAGTTTTAAAATAAAAAATTTAATTGCAATTTGCAATGTCATTTTAATATTAATTAACATTAAAAAAATCGGGGACCATTTAGAACTATTTTTCAAAATTCAGAGACCAAAAGTGTTTATTTTAAAAAATTCAGGAACTAAGTTGACACCTACTTTAAACCTCGACGACCAAAAGTATTCATTTTGAAACTTCATAGACCAATTAGACACCTATCTCAAATTTCAGGGACCAAAAGTGTTCATTTTGAAATTGTAGGGACCAAATAGACATCTACCTCGAATCCC